GCCAGTCAGCGACCCCGGGAGAGACGCAACGCTCCCATCCGAGCACCTGCTGAGAACTGAACCCCCATTCTTGGATGAAGTATAAAGCGACGAGACGACGGGGCACTTGTCCCTTGCGCTCGGTGGGCCATCCACAACATTCCCGGTGCACCTCCCGACGTAGTGGCGTTCAGTTGAGCAGCGAAGCGTCGCGTTGTCGGAGGCATCGCATAACATGTGAGGGTAGGCAGTGGCAGGGTTGTTGATCTCCGTGCACTTCTTCTCCAGAAACTCGCAGCCAGAGTTGTTGCCCCACGACATCGGCTCCGCCATACCCCACACAGCCTTGTAGTAGCCGAGGTCCTCAAACGCCGCCATCGTCAGTATCGTGTAGCGACCGACGCCGAACCCGGGAGCCATCAGTTCGCCCAGCGCATTGCGTCGCTCCCAGTGGGATCCCGCGCTCTTCAAGGGGTGGTCCTCCAGCTCCATGCCCTCGAGCAAATCGCAGTTGAAGTGCGCTGCCGCCTTCTCCTTAACGTTGTGTCCAGTCACCATCATCACCGAGGGCTTCCCACGCACGCCATACTTGGAGGACACAAGGCCCCTCCTTTGCAGGTTTCGAAAATCAAATCCAAGAGCATGCGCAATCTCATGTGCAACAACACGATCGACAGACTCTCCGTCTATGTACTGGGGATCAACGTTCACAACACCGACAAACGGCCGACCATCGTGCAGTAGAGCACACGAGGAAGCCCATGCAATGGCTCCACTCGCTGGCCCCGCAAAAACGTACAGAACCATATCGGCGTCGGGCACGCCCTCCGTCATGTGCTCCTTGGGCACATGTCTCCGTTTCAGCAACAGACACAACTCACTTGGCACAATCAATTTGCCATTTATGGGTTTGACAAGGAGTCGGTCGGTATGCAGCTTGATGGCTCTGGGAAGAAGAGAATCTTCAAGGATCTTTCTCTTCGCATCCGTCAACACGTGCGTCTCTTCACATTTCGTCTTTCCACCGTAGGCCCAAACCACATTCCCCGCTTTCATGCAGGTCATGCTAGTGTCGTTCAGACCAACAACGAAAGCCCTGATGCGGATGGGCTTCCAGTCACCTTCATCTTCCTTTGTGGTGGCGGTGTACGCCTGCATCGTGCCCTGTCGCTTGCGCGGCACCTCACGCACCACCACCATCGGCAGTGGGCCGTTCTTCCGCATCACTTCATCGAAGTTGCAGCGGTGCCTCAGGGCGGGAGCGGCAGCAAGACACCCACCGGCACAGTGTATCGCCAACAGCAGCAGGAGCAGCACCAGTGGGAGAAACGGCGCGAGGCAGCGTGACCGGCACATGGCTTGAGAAACGTGTGTGCGCGTGGGTTTGTAGAGAATAGTTGTATTAGCAGTAGAAGCAAATACATTGTCCGCAGGATGAGAAAAGAAAAAAAAAACACAAGGCGAGGTTTTGGTGCCACAAAAGTAAGAGGAGGTAACAGTTGTGTAACCACGGGTCTTAAAGCTACTCCGGCAGCATGGCTGGTGCGGAAACGGCTTCGCAGAAAGGCGCGAGAGACACCAGCAATAATTGATGACAATTATGTGGAAATGGAAATTCCCCGATAATTCATTCTTTGCATGCCTTTCTCCGACATCCAGAGCGCAAAGGTTTGCTGGTATTTGCTGGGCAGTGGGCGTGCCAGAAAGCCCCACACCGCTCACCACCCGGTAGAGCAAAAGAACCCCTTGTACCAATTGTTTTGCTTCTGTAATTCCTTGTTGCTGCGCCGTTATGAACCGTCATTTCCCCCTCACCCCAAGCACGCGCGCGCACACACACGACTCCGTGGAAAAGGAAAAGTTTCCAGTATGGCGGGGCGTTTCGGTTGGGCCCGGAGCGCCGTCGTGTCGTCCTTTGGCGGCGCCACCTCAGCTCACTCTCTGCGCGTGGACGTGGGTACGCGCACGTGCACCCACAACGCGTAGCCCTTTAACTCAGAAAGTTTGTAAACTTCTCTCCCCCCTCCCCAGCCAGTTGCAACATTCTCAGACCATTCATTCCATCGCCAAAGTCAATACACTCTGCCAAGACGACTTGCACACCGTCACTGGGCACCTGACCACCTAACTCCTGCACCGCGTTTCCCTTCATCGCCCCCAGAGGGCAAACACCCAAGCAGCAGGCGGAAGAGAAGGCCAACTCTGTTCGCTTTCCATACTTCGCCA